AGAAAATGCCTGAACATGGTGGGTTCATATTTCACATCTCACATCACTTAGACACATATTTTCCCAGGTATTGAAAATGTCATCTAAGTAAATAGTTATCTGAATAATTCAACATATTGATATTATTCCATTAAATAGTTATTTGGTTTTTTTTTGTACCAGGGATCGAACTCAGGTCCTTGCTCTTGCGCAGCAGGCAGTGAAACCACTGAGCTAAATCCCTGGCCCAATAGTTCATTATTTTATAAAATCCTTCATCATTAAATGGTATTTTTGCTATTATGTTGATCTTATAACCAGTGCTATGATAAGCAAACTGTGCAAAACTGTGTTTACTGCTGATAATTACATTCTTTATCAATGATGACATGACCCATCAGTCTTTTCCATACCATTTCAAATTTCCTACTATTTTCTTTGGATTTGAATTGAAATAATACTAATATTATGGGATATAAGCTAGGTGAATTTTAACATAGATATTAAGGTTTTTTGTAGTCATTCCCAAAAGTATTAAAAAGCAATATTATAAAAAACCATTGCTTTTCCCCCTTTTGTAATATTCAGTCATTAGAGAAATACACACTTTAGCAGTGAGCATTGATACCTTCACTTATGAACAATGGAAAAAAGAAAGGTATGATGAGGAGAGAAAAATGGATGTGTGGAGCACAGAGGAACTCAGAAGAAATCAGCCCAGTATTCTGAAAAGAATTGTACCATTTACACATTAAAATACTCCTGCCTGGAAGCATCTAGCAGGAGGATTACAAAGTCAAGCCCCCGAGTGGGTACCTTGGCAACTTAGCGAGACCCTGCTTCAAAATGAAAAGAAAGAAAGAAAGAAAGAAAGAAAGAAAGAAAGAAAGAAAGAAAGAACTGGTGATGCAATCACCAGTACCACACACACACGCGCACGCGCGCACACACACACACACACACACACACTTCACTGTTTAATTAAAATTTTAATCTTATAGCTGCTGGATAAATTATATAGCTATTGGGTAAATTAGGGCATACCATTATGTCATTTCTTTTATATTGTAGCTTTATAAGGTACAATGTATTTATTACAGATTATTATTAGTAGTATTTTGTGTTACTGAGGATTGAACCCAGAGCCTTTACACTGAGCTACATCCTTTCAGGTATTTTTTATTCTTCATTTTCAGACAGGTTCTTGATATGTCACTAAATTGTTTAAATTTGTGATGTTCAAGGATGGACTTGAACTTGTGATCCTCCTGACTCAGCCACCCAGAGTACTGGGAAATAAGCACAAACCACCATGCTAATTTTGCAAAAGTGTTTTTAAGTGTCTAGCAACATTTGCAGTGCATTAGACATCCAATAAATACATTTTGTATAGAAGAATAAATAAGTAAACATGTTTCCAAGTTTAATATAAAATAGGACTGTAATATTACATACCGGGTGGCATATGGTTTTGTTTTGAAATTTCAAAATATGCAAATAAGATTTCAAAGCATTGTCAATAAACATCATGTCACTTTTAATGTTTTTGTAGTTATGTGATTGAAAGAATTTTAATTATTATATTTTCTAACAATAAAACTTTAGATTACTCAACGTATTTTGAACAACCAAAACTTATTTTAAGTGACAAAAGAAATCTTCAAAGGAGAAAGCAGCAACATGTTATTTTTAACATTACGGCTATTGAGGGAACAAGTTTTCACCTATGTTGTTCAAACAAAAGTTAGGGATTTAACTAATTCCAATAAAGGTAGTTTGATGTCTATAGCACCTAAAGGAAAAAAAAATATGATCACAATTCAAATAGTCATAGATTCAGTACTGAATATTTCACATAAATTTCCTTATTCAAGCTTCATGAAAGTCAAAGGCTTAGCTAATTTATTATAGATGAGAAAACAGAATCAACAAATTGAGGGACTAAGAATTTTAATTGGATATAATACAAATTAAATTTGACAAAAAAGAGAGAGAAGGAGTTCTAATCATTACACTTCTGCTTTTAGGTAAAAAACCAAAACATATGGTAGAAATTGACATTCACTCATCTTTGAATCACACACACACACAAACACAGACACATGCATTCCTAGTGCTGTTTTATTAACATTAACATATATTTAGTCACAATATAGAAATGTGGGTTTTCATTTGTTGTGCTTTAAAATTGTCTGGATGTGTTATGACACAGATATCCAGAGTGTAACAGTCCTAGGGTATAATTGATGGTAGAGAGATAGATTGACAGATAGATAAATATATAATTTGCATACAAATACATTAACATTATAATGTGCATATAACATACATATATTTATACACTAAATATTGCATTTTACCAAAATTTTATTAACTCAGAACTCTCTAAAATGATAAAAAATAAATTCATACAAACTCTCTATAAAAAATTCAGTTACACTTTAAAAAATCATTGGTTTGAAAAAGAAATCAAATAAACAATTACATTTATAATAGCACAATTCCAATTTTCAAGAATTATCATCTTTTGCATAGTGGAAAATTTGGTAAATGAAGATGAAAACTGTTCCTTTCAAGGAATTGCTTCTCTCAAGGTGCACAACTGTCATTAAAGTTTACTGTTTGTGACTTGAAGGCAATTAGATTTTAATTACCTTGCAATAATACTCAAATTATTCTTTGACACATGCGCTGGATTACACGTGGATTTCTAAAGAGAAAATATTCAGTTCAGATAGATGGATGATTAAAGACTGTCTATAACTCACACTGAATTAAATATTTGAAACAAAAAGGAACATAGTAGAATTATATAAGTGAATTGCACTGTTGTAATTAGCATGCATATTTTTATTAATTGCAAAATACAATGCTATACAAAAAATGAGCAAAGTTCATGGTATGAACAGATAATTACAAAGGCACATTGATCTAATATTTCTTTAAAAATAAGATTTATAGAGGAAATCACACATTCTGAAGACAGAGGAAGAGATACTAGATGTTATTACTTAAAAAAAAATAGTATCACCAGTTATGTTTATGAATGAGAAAAGAAGACTGGAAGAATTTTATAAATTAAATTTAATTAATGTAATTTAATTTGCATGTTGGAAATAATATTGATGATATTTTTTGGATCCAACATTGTGAAATTTATAATAAATTATTCTAAACCCCATTTATATGCTTTCATTAGTTTTATTTCAATAAAATATTAATTACATGAACAAAATATATTTATATAAAGTGCAATTCACTATATCATTCAATATAATAAATATTAAATAACCTATATTAGATTATCAATGCTTATTTGTTTACTCTTCCAAATTTGGCCATTCAACTAAAATCTCAAGGAGAATTAACTTTGTTTAATTTTATATTTCCACTACTGAACAAAATATCTAATTAATTAGGTAGGGATATTGAAGCATAATGCATTCTACTATATTCCAAATACTGTGGTGGCCACTGGAAGTCAAAAGAATATTCTCAGAGAAGTGCCTTTACCAAGACAGTACTGTAATTCTTTGAATATATATGTTCAAGAGTTTAAATGATGAGAAAGTAGAAAAATAAGTCATATGAACCAAGTCTTGAAAAACATAGTAGCATTGTAGTAAAGGAAAAGACTAGAGAGAGCAGAAAGGAGCAGGCACAAAAAAGAATAAAATAGGTAAACATAACAAAATATGTTTTAGGGAAATAAAATAGTTGAAATTAAAAACAGATAAGAGGATGTTTAGAATATGATTATGGACATGACATAGATGATAGGTAGATAAATATTAATATGGATATACTTATAGATATAGATATAAGTATTGATATGCATGTACTAGACCAGACAGAACACCCAAATGAGTATAGGCTTTATGCTCTGAAGTTTCAATGAAGACATATTTGATGACTTAATTTACATAGTAGAACATTCAGGCTGTAGACTGTACAGATAAAAATTTAAAGAAGTTTCAAACTCACATATGATCTATCAGGTTATTTCAATTATGTTTGAAATTATTATGCAAGATTAGATTAAATATATAATTGAGAGTGGAAGCAAAGTTAGTAATATACTTTATGAGATATTATTTTAGGGTCAAATGATGGTGATCAAAGGACAGGAAGCCTTAACAAAACACTTTCAGCAGGCCATGGTATTGTACAGCTGTAATCCTAGCACTCTGGGAAGCTGAGGCAGGAGGATCAAAAGTTTGAGACCAGCCTGAGCAGTTTGGTGGCTTAAGGAGACCTTATCTTATTTTTGGTACCAGGGATAGAACTCGGGACCTCGTGCTTGCCAGGCAGGCGCTATGCCACTGAGTCAAATCCTTGGCCCAAGGAGACCTTATCTCTAAAAATAACACAAAGGCTGGGTATGTAGCTTAGTGTGAAGGTCCCCGGTTCAACTCTCAGTACTGGATATCTTTCCCAAGCTTTTGATTGATAAGACAAATCATATCTATTGGATAATGATGACTCAAGAAGAAACACATTAGTAGTAAAATTGTGTCCAGAGTTTTAATTTTGGAAAAAAGTTTAAAAATATCTATGAAACATTTATTCACTCTTCTTTTTAAATAACTTAGGCAGCAATATAAATATGAGGTAAAATTAGAAGAGTGCAGATGGGAATCATGGAAATCTGCTCTAATGACAAGGACAGACACATGTTGAAGACTATATAAGACTGTAGAATTGCTTGCTTCTTAATTTGTATTTAGAGATCCTTGGAAAGCTAAGCTGGAGCTGATCACAAAATCAATGATAGAATAAAAAAGGAAGATAATATTAAGCAGGAAGTTTTGATTATGTTCAAGATGTTGAGTACAATAAACAAAATCAGAATCCAAGTAAGATGATAAATAGAGGTTGTAAATGTCAATCATACTTCTGAGAGAAATCTATCCTGAATATATTTAATAATGAATTTATTAGTATTAAAATTACGATGTCTACAAATTCTTTGATAGTCTTCCTTTAGAAAAGTGGTAAATAATGCCTTTCCTTTGATGTAGGTGGAGGTTAATGATTCACTTCAAGAAAACTATGCTGCAGAAGTGACACCGTAGGATTTTGGAGCTGTCATAATGGTAACATTCACTGGCTCTTCCTCTCTTGGGTCATTGGCTCAAGGAGTTTGCTCCCGAGGAGAGAACGCAGTCAATATCCTCTGTGGGTGTGCAAAGAGCCTGAGAAGAGGAATAAATGAGGAGGAATAGAAGCCTTTCCCACAAGGCAGCACCAACTCAACAGTCATGTGAGTCATGTTTTCTCTTGGAAAGAGATCCCTCTGGCTTCTTCAAGATCTCAGATAATGATGATCCACCAGAGATTTAACTGCAACAGAAGGAGAGAATCTGTTCTACAAACATCCAGCAAAGACACTCCTGAATTACCAACTCATAAAACTGTAAAGACAATAAATGGTAATTTCACTTTACAGAGGTGTATCAAAATTTTTTGTTACATATATTAACTAGAATAGAAAATGAAAAGAAAGAAGAAATAAAGAAAGGAAAGAAACAAGGAAGAAGATAAAAGAGGAAAGTACAGTTCATTTATTGCTTTGAAATGCCTATTTTATTACTTGGAAAGAGTTTAATGTTTCTTTATAACAGAATGGTTTCTAAATGTATTAAACAATTAAATATTAGAAATGAAACCATAAAAAAAGAAAATAAGTGGTACTGGGAACAATTGTGAATACCTGTAATCCCAGATCTCTGGGAGGCTAAGCCGGGAGGATTTCAAGTACCAACCCAGCCTTGGCAATTTAGCAATTTAGCAAGACTCTGTTTCAAAATAAAATAAAACCAAATGTATTTCATTACTTAAAGCCACTAAGTTTATGACTTTATATAGCAAAAAATAATTCAGCGATTCATAGATTGATAGATTAAATTTGAAGTCAATTGGCTAAAATTGTTTACTGAAAAAAATGAATAGAATAATATGAAGAAAAATTTAAATATATTGAGGTCGGGGAAAAGTAATAAAAAATAGAACACTAGGTGGAAGAAAAGCTTATGATAGTGATTGACAAGATACATTCAGTAAGATAAAAAGATTTGGAGTATTGATGGGCCATAAAATAATCAAGGATGTTGTACTGATCAGCTTTTGGCCAATGAGACAAAGCACCTGTGACCTGAAAATTTGCAGAAGAAAAGGTATATTTTTGGTTCAGAGTTCTAGAGGTTTCACTCTACAATCAACTATCTCCAATACAAAACCATCATAATAGAAAGCATTGTAGAGGTAGCTACTCAAATATGGTAGCTGGGGAGCAGAAGCAGTTGGAAAGATACTATCTTAGTTTCTTTTTTCATTGCTGAGACAAAATACCCAACACTCAAAGTTAAAGGAGGAAAAGTTTATTTTAGAGCATAGTTTGTAGAAGTTTCATTCCATAGTCCCCTTGGTCCAAGGAAGGGTAGCATGGCAGAGGGGCATCACATCCACAAAGGAAAAACAGTCCATGGTGTGGCAGGCAGAAAGCAGCAAAGGAGCAAGCAGCAAAGCAGCAAGCAGCAAGCAGCAAGGTGCCAGCCTGCCTCTCCCTTTTATGCCATCTAGGCTATCACCCTTTTTGGTAGTGCCACTCAGAACTATGCTAATTCCAGTAAATGGACCATTTTAGTACTGCACACCAGTAATCCCAATATCACATGCCCCAGAACCAGCTGACTCAGAAAAGCCCCACCTATGAGTGCATGAGGTTTGACAGGGACATCTATACACAAGTCATAACACAGCCAGAGAGGAAGGTCACACCCAAACATACCCAGACACACCCAGAAGTGTTTGACTAATTTCCTAAATGTCTCCTAAGCAGATCAAGTTGACAGTCCAGATTAACTGTCACAGGTGTTAAATTCTAGATCAAATACTTTTCAAGTTAAAGACTGTCAGTGAATTAAACTATAAATGTTTAATATGATTAGGAATATAAATTTATATGAAATCATGTGGGAAAAAATCCCAATTCACTGTAGGTAACAAAATAAATGGGAATTAATTAAAAATCAAGAACAGCTAATACAGATATGGTATGCCTAGAATCTTTGTTATAAATATACTCTAGATAAAGCATTTATGGAGAGGAATAATAAAGAGATGAAGGGCAGAAATGTCCAGTGAATACCTGGCAACACAAACTTGGACTTTAGAAAGATTCTGGCTTGAGAAATTTACATCATCATAGCATTAGTGTATTGAGATAGATAAACCACAAGAAAAAATGAGATCCCTTAAGAATATGAGATAGTTGAGGTAAAAATATGGCCACATTTGTAATTTTAACATGATTTTCTTATTTCTAGCAGGACATGATAGATGATAATTTCTCTATCACTTTTGTATAGTGCAAGAGAATAAATGATTCATTCTAGACCATATAATATGGTGGTAGGATACTAGGAACAAGAACTCATGGTACGAGCCATGTTTTCTCTATGTATGTGTCAGTTAATGAACATTGGGAGTGTTTCCATTTCTTATGTATCATAAATAATTCAGAAATAAACCTGCAAATATAGATGTTTCTTTAACACACTGATTCATTTTTTGTATATATACTCAGTAGTGTGATTGCTGGATCATGTAGTAGTTCTATTGGTCAATATTTTAAAGCAACTTCTTTACTTTTCTCCACAATAGCAGCTTTCACCATAAATGTTTATCACCAGAAATGATAAATGTTTGAGAAAATAGCTATATTTTACCTGACTTAAACATTACACAATGTATATACTCATAAACAGTCCCCATAAATGAGTACACTTTTATACTTTTATCAGTAAAAATAAGTGTAATTAAAATAAATTTATAATACTTACATTATTGAGATGAGATGATTTATATGTTTTTATATATTAGTAATACTCAATAGTTACAAAAATGTGCAAAACAAATGAAAAGTATGTTTGGCATTTCAAAAATGAAAGAAATGCTTAAATTTACTATTTGCCTTACAAATAAAATATGATATTCACCTCTCAAAAAATGTCATATTACTCTAGTAAGTGCTAGCAATTAAAAGTTTACTGGCCCCTCCAAAACCCATTGAACTTTAGAATCCCATTGACGATCTGCAGTAGTCATACGAATATGACGTTCTGACAGATATTTGCACCTTTTAAAAATATATTTTTCTAGATGTAAAATATCGTTCTTACTATGAAACAACAAAACTACAGATTCAGTGAAATATTATTTGCTTAGATTGAATTAATAAAATTTATATTATACTAATATTGAATAGACATATCTTAATAGAAAAATATATTGTATTTAACTGCTCTATTTACTGGAATATTTATTTTCAAGATAATACTATTCAAAAGAACTAATAAAGGCTTTGGAAAGATAAAATCCATACAAGAAAAAGACACTATTTCAGCAGTGCAATTTCTTTCTTCTTTAAAATGAGAATTAAATATCATGGTATGTTTTTATGGCTTTTTATTATATATTCATAGTTTTTTCATTTAATAATCTTAAATCATAGTGTAGCTTCGTTAAAATTTCAATATTTGAACATTGATGAGGATTACTTTATGGGCTAGATTTTGGATTATCTTTTCTCAATTTAAATTTTTTAAAGTTACATTTTAACTGGTACATTAAAAAGTATTAAAAATTTCATATTAACATGATGTTTGATTAAAAATAAATATTGGGTAATGTTTAAGTCATATTAATCATATCTGTCTCTTTAGTTATCATTTCTTTAGTGTAAAGTGTTTCAAATTTCTTTCTTTAAGGTTTTGGAATGTACTGAAAATTATAGAAATCTATAGTCACTGTACCGTATTGCACACCAGAACTTTTTACTTCTTTATGTTACTTTACTTCTTTATGTTACCCATTGGTTAAACTTTCCCCATCATACCTGTATCCCCTAACAAACTTCCTCAACCTTTAATAACCACCATTAAACTTTTAACTTGAATGAGATTAACTTTGTCTAGATTTCATGTATGAATGATATCATAAAGTCCCTGTCTTTCTTTAACTGGCTTATTTCAGTGAACGTAATGATCACCAGTTCCATCCATGCAAAATAACTTCATCTTGATTAAGTCTGAATAGTATCTTATTGTGTGTAGGTACCACATTGATTTATTCATTCATTGGTTGATATATATTTGGGTTTTTCTAATTCTTCATATTGTGAACAGTGGTGCCCTTTTTATAATGGTAGATGACTCTAAGAATCAGTGTTAATGAAGGGAATTGAAATGTGTTATGTACTTGTACCAATCCCCTAAAGGGAATGTAATCATTATGTACTGTGAAAACACACTAATAAAAGTAACAGAAAAAGAAACATTGTTACACAATTTTTTATATATTTGTATTTATTTTTCATATATACACTATTGAGTTGCAATGAGTTTCTCCCAAAGCTCGTCTGCCTGAAGGCCTACAGGATCTGATTGTCCTTTCCCTCAATTTTCTCCTACTCCCATCTCACCCTGGTAAGGGGCCCAAAATTTACTAAAGCAATACATTTCCAATATAGCAGTACTCGTTTGTTACACATTTTCTTACAAACACCATGAACTAAATCCAACCTCCCTCAGCCCCGAAGTCTATTTAAAATTCGGGGAAAAATCCATTGAGAATAATTTTTCTTTATTTCTTAAAAAAAAGCCAAATATTCTTCTTTTAGGGCTGAAAATACTTTTAAGTCCTCATGTTCTCTATGGTTATCAAGAAAGGCTTACAATGTATACACTGAAATAATATTGTGAAGCTAATTTTCAGAATTGAAAGTAAAACAGACAAAAATCAAACCCTTTAGCTCAGTTATAATTTTCTTTTCTAACAACAGAGAAGATGCATATTCCCCTAGTGTCCAATTTCCCAAAATACGTTACTAAAGAAAGTCCATCCTTGCCAAAATATTTAGTGCTTAGTTTACAGACACTATATAAACTGTGTATTCCTGAAACACTACCTTGAATTCTTAAAGACTTGCTCTGTAGAGCCATTTTAGGATTGCAACATCCAGATGAACTTCTGGGTGTAACAATGAGAACTGTCAGTTAAAGATATATTTCAAGGTATTGATGTTTTTAAGCTACCACTTCCTTCACTGAGCATTTTCCATCTTTAAGTATGTGGTAATGAGCCAATTCAGAACTCTTAGATATAGTTACACTTGGAAGATTTTAGCTTCTTTTGGATTTAGAAATCACAGAATGCACAGAATAAAAGCTGGGGGGGTGGGGTGGCTGCACAGCCTGAAGATTTGCATATGGATTTTCTCTGGGAAAAATCCAATAAGAAATATATTGAATGATGCTTCTACAGTTGTTGTCAATATTGAGAAATGGGAGGTCGTTGACCCATATATACTCCTATTTTTCAACAAATATATAGAGTTAAATAAAAAAGTACAAATTATGAAAGAGAAGAATGGAATATTTTTAATTCTCAAAAATTGCATTGAATATATATTTTAAGATTTAGTATTCTCAAGAACAATTACCAAATATATTTGTAGTTCTCATTTAAAGTTTATTGTTACAATTGATATTTTATTTATGCTGACTTTTTTTCATAAATTTTGAATTAAAATCCATTATTGACTAACTTACAAATTAAAGGAGCTTCTGTTAAGAAAATATTTCATATATTTTGACAATTTAATACATTTGCTCTTTGAGACTAATGATGGAACATAATTTGAAATTAAACTGCATATGTTGCAAACTTTCATAAAGAATACTAAAATATGTATTTCATTGAATTAAAGTTTAGAGAAAACTCTGGCTTTTGGGGACATATAAACTGAAGATATGTAGGTAGAAATAAAAAGAACATTCTGAGGCCCTGGTTTCTCAGAATGTGACCACCCTTGATCAATCTTTCTGACAATATTAACTAAAATTTTGCTAAGAGTTCTAAGGTATAATTTAAGTGAAAAACTGTGCTACCACTGCTTCTTGAAGTACTATCTGATGACAAATATCTAGTACTGAGGAGAGGCTGGTGATTCAGACATAGGGCCCAGTCTAATATGCTTAAAGAATATGTGATACCTAAGATTCCAAAGCCAAAGAACAAGAATCAGAGTAAACAGCTGTTCTTTTCTCCCTCAAATCTGAAAGATTGAATTATATCTAGGCTAAAATTTTGGTAGGAGTGGTATAATTAGGTCTTTATTTTACTGATTATGGATGAAGTATATTTTCTTAATTTTCCATGTAATCAATTTACCTGGACCAATCTCATAAGTTGACATTTTGAAATTCCATACATACTCTTAATGAACATACACAGTATTTTAATAATGTAGACATAAGAGGCAAACATTTTAAAGAAGAGAGTGCTGATCACAAAATTCAAATCAATGGTTACCTCTGGGGAGAAGCAGAAAGATGCAAAAGTAGAGATGATCCAGAAAATTTCAAAGTAATCCTATTGATCTAGTCCTCTATTTGGGTGATGAGGTCGCGACTTTATTATTTTGTTTAATAGAACTCATATGTAGTTTTATTTACATAATTTTATTTGAAAAAGCTTGACTGAGCAAGATCTTGAACTAAGAATTGTCTTTGCAATTTACTATGTCTTTTTTTTTTCCAGTACTGGTGATCAAACTTAGGACCTTGCACTTGTGAGGCAGGCACAGTGTTACTGAACTAAATCCCTGCCCACATTACCATATCTACAGCAAAAATTTCCTTTGATTATTTAAAAAAGCCTAATCGGATCATTCTGTGAGGGAAAAATCCCTCCAAATGTAAATATCATCTGTTCTTTACCTTTAAGTTATGTACGACTTATATACTGAAAATGATTTAATTCTTTTCAGATATATTTCAAATTAAGTATTGAAGATTTTTAATGAAATTAAAATTATAGTAGTGCAATGACAATATTGCATTTCATAAAGAAGACATGGCCTGGTTTACCACACTGAGAAATGCTACTTATTTATTCATTATTTATGTACTGGAGATTGAACCCAGGGCCTTCATACTGAGCCACATGTTTCCACCATTTCTATTATTTACTTTGAGACAGGGTCTAAGTGGCTAAATTGCCCAGGCTTTGAACTTGTCATCTTCCTACCTCAGGCACCCACAGGGTTAAGATTACAGGCATGCACAGTGTGAGAGATGCTACTATTTTTGCTTGTCATATTGTCATGTTGTTAGCTATTACTGGGGCTACAAATTACCCCAAGACTTAATGACTTCAAATAAAACACGTGTAAATACCACAGTTTCTGTGGCCCATAGGTCAATATTTTGCTTATGGCTTTTCTAGATACTGTCATAGTCTCTCACAAGGCTAAAATCTAAGGGTCAGGTCAAGGTCTGCAGTTGCATCCAAAGGCTCAGCTGAGGAAAAGTCCACTGAGAAATCACTCAGTGCTTTGTGAGGTGCAGGAGCTCAGACCTAATTTCCTCACTGGCTGTTGGCTGGAGGCCTCTCAGTTGTTTTGGTTTTTTTAACGTGAACTCTTAAATTTCAAAACTTACTGAAAAGGAAAAATTGAAAATACAACAGAGAGCTTGCAGACAAAAAAAAACAAAATTACAAGCTTTTGTAATTCAATCACAGAAATGAACTACCACTTTTGTCATATTCTATTGGTTCCAGGACTAATGTAAGGAAATAAAATTAGATTGTTACTTCCAGGGCTTGTCCATTGTGGGATATCACTGAAGTATACTGACCTCATATAGAATGAACAGATTCTTAAATAACTTGAGGAACCTGGATGATTAAAATGCAATGGTAACAATCTAATTGGAAAAGAGAAATGTGTTTGCATATCAGAATAAGATATGTCCACTAATCGCACATTTATAGTTACAAACCTACTGATATGGAAGATATAATTTTTCATTATAACAGTATTTTGTACAATTAAATTTTATTCATCTAATTAATTTGCTTTCAGGCAACGAGTCAGATACAGTAAAGAAATGATTTAAATTACAATCATTTAACTAGTATAAGTCATTGAACTTAGTAGGATGTTGAACATTTATCTGCTTTTAGAAAATTCTAGTTACTAATATCAGGATAGTAGATAAGCAAACCACTAATAGAAATGTTTTCAAATATCTCAACATCAAAATGAGAAATAATTTGTATTTACTCTATAGAAACATTAAAAGAAGGTAAAATTACTTAGGATATTACCAACATATGCAACCCAAATCTACATATAAAAATATAAAATATACATTTTAAATCAAAGTAACAGCTAAGTAGATCAGTGTATAATGAGGAAATGATAGTTTTGTGAACTCTGTAGCAATCACCTATATATCTTTAAAGTGTGATTATAATCAAAACTTTGCCAAATCACTGAAGTATAATAGAAAATATACTTTTAAACATAGTCAACTATGTAAAACTCACAACAAATTTATGAGAGGGATACTAACATTAATCACAAATATGGATTAGAAAATATAGGCAGACAAATTAACTTGTCTCCACTAAGTTCATAAATGTTGACAACTAGCAGAACTAAGTTTTCATCCCAAGTTGTTTGCTTTTAAAACACATGCTGCCTTTTTTAGAAACTACAATTATAGTAAAATTGAATTCCCTTTTAATAACAATTAACAGCAAAAAATGTCTTAATAAATCATACATTAAAATAAACATGGCACAGAAAATATATAATTTTAAAATTGTTCACCTCCAGCAATTTCAAAATATCATTCCTGTGTGATCTTAGAGTCCATCCCAGTACAAAGAAAAAATAAAGTAATAATGATACACACACACACCCCTAAGTTTCTAAAGCTGTTGATTCTTTGCAATTGTTTCCACTTAATGCCTTCTTCTTTCTTTACGCTTTCTTAACCATTAGTATTCGATACTAAATATGGACTGACTAGGCCTTTTATTTTTAATAATGCAAGTTATTTCTAACTCACTCAGTTAAACTTTCTGTTATGTCAAACTAAAAATCATTAGGCAATACCAAAACCATTTTCTAGTCTCCTAATCTTTTTTCTGTTTTATTTTTCTTGTACCCTAAAATTTAAAAAAATAAATTTAAAAAAACTGTTCAATCTGTGTCTCTATCCCTTTCCCTTCCAAACATCCTTGGAACTTTTTCTCTTCATGCTCTTCTTATTTATTAAAATATCTTTAATAAAAATGTCAGAAACTCTTGCAGACATTAGTTTATCTAATTAATGTATAATCGATGAAGTATATTTGTATCTGTTTTAAACATCACAGTAAATATTTTACTTTACAGACTTAATCAAAGTGAAGTAAACATTCTAACAAAAAATACCTTCTAGTGAAGACTGTCCTATTTCTTCTCCTCCTCACATAAGA